TGCTTTTCGAATCTAAACAAGGTAATCACATATACTAGTGTAGTTTCAACAAGGAAAAACAAGTTAAGACTTAGTGAAAAATGGAGTTTACAGCAAATAGCCCCTGTACGTACTCATCACATCACGTACACGGCACTCATATATCAAACAGTACCAAAATCCGAAGGGGAGTTCCCCCACACAAGGTTAGATAAGCCACTTACCTCGAACCAAGCCCAAATCAATCCGTAATAATGCTCTTTCCATGAATATCCGGCTCTGGATGGCCCAAATCTAGCCAAATCAATTACATAACATAAACATAGCTATAAGCAACCAAGCTAGTTAATAAAATCAAAGTTAAGGCAAGAAAATAAAAAAAAATACCCAAAAATCCTCCCCGGGACCGCATCTCGAGATCGGGTAAAAATCACAAATTATGAACACCCATTAACTCATGAGTTCACTCATACCAAAATTATTCAAATCCGATATTAAAATCCCACTCAAAACTTAGAAATTCGGTTGGGGGACTTTTCCCCCATTTTCCAACTTTCTCAGTCAAATTCCTTGATTAAATGAAGAAAACAATAATAGATTAATGAAATGCAACCAAAATCGAGTAAGGAAAGTTACCCACAAACTTCTTCTGAAAAACCCTCAAAATTTTGCCTCAATCTGAGCTCTCTAGGTCCAAAATGGAGAATGAAATCAAACCCTCAAATTTGCCCTTTTTCTGCCAGTCAAACCGCACCTGCGGACCCTTCTTCTCACCTAGGGCGCCGCACCTACGAAAATTCTATCACAGGTGCAGAATTCACTTAAGTGGGTTAGGACCGCATCTGCGAGCACTGGACCGCACCTGTAGAAAACCCAGCATACGTAATGTAATCACCATCGCTGTCAACTTTAAGAAAAGCAAAAGCATCATTCTCAGTCAACGAGGCTCGGCGAAGTTGATACTGAAATTGAAGGAATAGTTAGATCAGTACCTTCTCCACAACAAATAATCAGAGCATATAAAACGGAGATATTTCATTCATTTACTATAGAAAGAGTGATATTAACGTGAGATTAGACAGGATTGCGTTGTCAAAATACAAACAATTTAGATATCTAGGCTTGATGTTCCAAGATATTGGTTTGAGGGATAGAGAAGTTACACATAGAATCAAAACAAGATGGTTGAAACAAAGAGTCTTATTGAGGTGTTATGTGAAAAAGGATGCCTACCAAAGTCGAAAATAAGTTGCATAGAACAATATAAGACGAGCAATATTATATGGGAGTGAACATTGGACCATTAAAGTCCCACATCTCACAAGATGAGTGTCGCAGAGATGCGAATGTTAAGGTAGATATGAGGTCATACAAGATTAGACAAGATTAAAAATAATTAAAATTTGGCAAAACATGGAAGTAGCAGACATCGAGGATAAAATAAAAAAAGGCCGCTTGAGATGGTTCAGTCATGTTCTACATCAACCTCCAGATGCATCATTCCATAGGTGTGAACCCATAGTGAATCAAGGTGTGGGGACGAGGGTAGACCTAAATTGCATGGAAAGAGATCCTCTTGGAAGACATGCAATCTCTTGTGATCCGTGCAAACCTAGCAAAAAATAGAGCACGATGGAAGAAAAGATCTACATAGGTGATACAAATTAGTTGGAAGTGAGTTTCAGTCATGTTTGTACATTTATTTTAAGTCTCATATTTCTAGGAGTCTTTTAGTCTTGTAAGAATTTTATATGCCACTACAAAATATAGAAAATCTCTAGTACTTTTCATTTTCTTACTACTACTTTTTATGTTTAGTTTTTGGTCCAAGATTTGCATGGAGTGACACGGTTAGTGAGGATTCATATAGTCCGATCTCAACTTGCTTAGGATTGATGCATAGTAGTAGCTATTGTTGTACAATAGGGAGGGAAACAATAAGAGCATGCAACACACAAGTTCAGGTGCAAACTAAGGTGGACCAGAGACCAGGAACTAATCTATTTTACTTCCTGCACTCTTAGCTAATTACAGAACTCAGAGAAAACCACACATTAAAATCCCTTCACAACAAAATTTCATATTAAATAGGAATGGACTTGTAGATATGATATCATAGTGATGGTAAGAAAACAAAAAGATTTCAAAATTGGTAATTGTTTAGCAACATCATAGAGCAACAACTTTGAACAAAAGGAATCAGTATCAACTCTTAGCTTCCTATTCTGATCGAACTAGATTGTTTTTCAAACTAAAAACACTAATCAATCTCCGTTTCAGCCTTAAAGGACTTGAACCTTCCAAATTTGACAACCGATACCGAAACCAACTAAACCATATCCAATTGACTCAAATTTTTCACACAAGTCATAATTCACACTACGGACCTACTCCAACTTTCGGAATCGGATTCCGATCCCGATATCAAAAAATTCACTACTGGTCTGTTTCTCCAAAAATTTAACTTTCGCCACTTCAAGCCTAAATAAGCTACGGACATCCAAAACACAATCCAGACATACCCCTAATTCCAAAATCACCCAACAGATCTAACGGAATTGACGGAACTCCATCCCGAAGTCGTCTTCACACAGTTCTGACTTCAGTCCAAATTCTAAGTTTTAAGTCTCCATTTTGGGGACTAAGTATCTCAGATACTTCCAAAAACCAAAATGAACCTCCTGGCAAATTACAATAGCATAAAACAGATACAGGGAAACAGTTTTTAGAGAATCGGGGCTCTAACTCTCAAAACGACCGGTCGGGTCATTACATATATGTAATTTCATGATTGTTTTGTGATTAAATTAATTTATTATTTTTATTCGGGTTAGATTATTTATTTGCTAAAAGATTAGTAAACTAGATAAATTATTACTTTAGTTCCCTGTAGTGGTATCTTTCACCTCTTTAAATAAGGCAAAAACCAGCCTGGGGGTTCAATTATTTGAGGTATAGAGTCTTAGCTTAAAACACTATACCCAGTTGAATTATTGTTATGTCAATTAAGCATAGAAGAATTATTTGTGGGCCCACTTAATATGTATAGCGTTTTAGTGAAGAATGCTATATATATAGCGTCTTTTTGAAAGACGTTATACGTAACCGGCCAAACGGCCGTTAAAGTATAGCGTCTTTAAAAAAAACACTATATATATTTTGGTCACTAAGTTTTTTTTTTTTTTTTTACATATTTTTGTTGTTTGAGTCCATAAGAACCACATTTGATTCCGGCTTCAAGACTCCTGACAAGGACCTCTTGATGTGTAAGATGTTAGATTCAGTGATATGTACATAGCAACAAGGTCATTAGATTCAGCAATAAAGTGGATCTTTTGCAAAAAATAATTATCTGTTATGATAAATATCATATTATGGTGGATGTCTACTCTTTCTCCATGATCTTCATGTCAAATGCTTAATAACATATTCCATGCATATTTTCTTCACTTTTCATGCATATATAAAGGCCTTGTAATAGATAGGAAAATACACACAATTAAAGAAAAAAAATTTCTTCCTTCTCTCTATCTCCATTTCTTGTTCATGTTTTACTAAATTGTTTTTATTTCCTTGTTCCATATTGCTACCTTGAATTATATTTCATAACATTATCCACTATTTATCACATATAACATAGCTTGCTTTATCCATAAATATACGAGCACATCAGAACCATAGGGTTCCTTCACGGGTGGCAGTAATATGGATAAGTCCAGCTGAATAAGTGCGATAGTTATATCACTATAAACCCAGACAAAACCAGGCGATTTGTGCAGAATTTCTAATTCAGTCTCGGAAAAGAACGGTTTGAAACTACATGTGAGATGCACTGTCGCATGAATAAAACGAAGCCCTGTAGAGAGGAGGAGCTATTTGCAGTAGTATCTTTTGACTTCACGGACTCAATAATGGAGGAATATAATGCCATTGTTCTTAGCTAGGATAAGCATTAGAAGAGAAATCTCTCCCCATAGCAAGAAAGCTAAGTTACTCCGACTAGGTGTCGCACCGGTATGAATATGGGATTTGTACCGGATTTGATTAAACAATTTTGGGTACTTTAACGACGGACAAAAAATGCGAGACGGACACAATTTGATGCCCGAAATCAGAACTAAAATAGGGTAAATTTGAAGAAAATATAATACTTTATCTAGGAAATCAATCATTTACTTATCTACAACTCGAGACTCAAAAAAAGATCTACACTTTACAAGCTATACGTAAGTATTCCACAAAATATCTCATAATTTAGAGATATTTTTAAATTTTTATTTTTTTGAATTATTTTTAGCTAGATCCTAAACTAGAATCCGTATCCCTGAATCTTAGAATTTACATTTAGCTCGAACACCCACACCCATATCCGAGCAACTTAGCCTGAAAGCAACTATACGTTCACTTCAAAACTCTCTTCTCTAGTTCACATGCAGAGAGTCAAGATAATCATTTATTGGTAGGGCCCTTAGCATAGTCACAATGAAAGTTACCCCTTGACCTTTTCCAATGAGACAAGATCAGAAAACACAATAAATGAGTGAGGGGTCCAAAATCCACAATGTGTGCCCCTTTTTAGCTGTCAAACAAAAGATATTATCTCTTTTCCTTCTCGCAGCATATGCTGGAGACTACAGTGGTTATTGGTCCCCCACCCCCCACCCCCCAAAACCCCTCCCAGCATCCACAAATATCCCAACTCATAAACCAAATTACTAAAAGCATTACAGCAATTACACAGTTTCATTTTATATAGTCAAGCAATTACACAGTTTCATTTTATATAGAAATGTTTGACTAGGCACAACGTTTAACAAAGAGAATATAGGTCATATAGAGCAAAATGAGGGGGGAGGGGGGTTTAAGGTTGTTTCCAAATATACTTTTTGAGATGGAACAACTATATTTGGAAACTCTTTAATAAATGTATAATTCGTTTTAGAATAGACTAAATAGGAAAGAGTAACATATATAAAATGGAACAAACAGTATTCACTTTCTTAAACATGTTGAAACCCATACAAGGCAAAACATAGGCTACATTTTACTACTAATTTCACCTAATATCATTTCAACATTTCCTTACATGAAGACCAAACTGATACATGGAATTGAAAGGGGATTGTTACATAGGTCTGTTGTAATACAATCTGACAATTTCTTTTCATTTGGAAAGTGCATCCAACTAGAAGAGTGAGTGGAAATTTAATTATATACTAACAAAAGAGCTATGCTCTTAACAAAATTGAAAGCAACTAAATATGACAACAACAAGAGCTACTCTACAAAAAACCTACAGCGAGTGCTGAATTTGCACAAGTGAATTGTATGTACATTCGCCAGCTCCAAAATGAATGGTAGAAGAAACTAGGGAATTTGAATTTGACCTTTAAGCCCAGTTGCCCAGGCTACTCCTCGTCATCAACTTCTTTCTTCCTCAATAAAGATCGGTTGGTTTGAACAGTGCTTTCATATCCGCTGCTATCACCTGATTCAATTATGCGCTTGTCCATTACCCTCTCTTTCATTTCATCATGATGTGAACGTCCATGTTCTCTTCCAGTTCTTCGATCCTGCATGAATCACACAGTTTAAGGGAGGGAAGCAATGCACTATCATATGATGATTGATAGAAAACTGATAAGGTGATTTAAGTACTACATAACAAAGCTTCCTGGCAAAAGTTTTGACTAGTGTTAGTTCATAATAATAAACTTGATATCAGATATTTGATCAGATTTCTAAAATTAGTTTTTAAAACAATCAACGCGTAGAAAATGAGAGGGAGATTCATTAAAGTTTTCACTATCCAAATGACCCGTTACTGAATCTGTGGTGCAACAAGCATCGTCTTTATAGAGGAGAATGTGGCATGCATTGAATGCTCATAACAGAAAAGAAGACACATGACCTTCATTACATCACAGATAAGTAAACACTCTAAAGCAACAAAATTGCACCATACTTTAGTGATTATTAGACTCAATTCAGTTCATTCCGTCTCCCAGAGGATATGTTCTTCGGAGTTCCTTCACACAATAAATAAGAGAGAAGTTGCATTCCTCTATAAGGAAAGGAGGTTTGCATACATAAAGTTAGCAAGATACCAGGAACCAAAATGCATGTTCAGCTGTCATGACTAGTAATATATGATATTCAGTTTAAGGGCATGCAGTTCTAAGAGGAAAAGCTCAAGCTTACATCGCGGAAGGGGAAATCGTCAGCTTCAAGCATGTGTATCACATGCCCCATCTTTGGCCTCTTTTGAGCATTGGGGTCTACACATCGTAATGCTACCAAAAGGGCACGTTTCAATGCTCTTGAAGATGGCTTCTCACGCAACTTAGGATCCAAAACACCTTCGGAATTCCGGTTAGAAACCATAGTCTTAAGCCACTCAACCAGATTTACCTGAGAGTTAGATCCACTACAAAAGTCAGAACAAGATGCAAGATTAAAGAGGTTTTTTAAAACAAGACGGCCATTTAGATAATCGGAACAAACCTCTCCAGGAGCACGGCTATAATCCACAGGATTCCTTCCAGAAATAATCTCCATAACAAGAATTCCAAAACTATAAACATCACTCCTGTCATTCAACATGCCAGTGCTGGCATATTCTGGAGCAACGTAGCTGATAAGAAAAACAAGTACATTGGCAAATCAATTTACACGGTTATCCCCAAAAACTAGAAGCGACAGTAAATGCTAGTGGATTTGAGACGTCCAGCACTAACCCGAAAGTTCCCATAACCCGGGTAGTTATGTAGCTCCTCTCTGAGCCCAAAAGCTTAGCTAAACCAAAATCAGATACTTTTGAATTCCACTGCTTATCAAGCAAAATATTGCTTGACTTGATGTCACGATGAACAACTTTGGGTTCGAGGCCCTCATGCAGATAGGTCAACCTGCATTCATTGTCAAGAGTTAGTTTTTCATTTAACACAATCTAGATAACAATGACTGCCCAAAATGAAAAAGCTAGAAGTTTAAATATCCCAAACAAACAGAGCTGAACTTATACCCTTTTGCTGCTCCAAGAATAATATTCATCCGAACTTCCCATGTAAGAGGACTGTATGGCCCTACATCTCCATGGAGCCATTGCTCTAAGTTCCCATTATCCACATACTCATACACAAGCATCCTGCAAATAGCATAGAATCATCTTGAATAATCCCAACACTAAAATCAGCAGATTTGTAGGTCCAAATAATCCTTATAGGCTACAAGCGCAGAAATGTAACGGTAATTGATCAAATCAAATTGCAGACTGCTGAAACTGAAATACCTGTGAGCTCCCTCAGCACAGTAACCAAGTAACCTCACCAAATTCTTGTGCCGAACTCGACCAATTGCTTCCACTTCAACCTTAAATTCCCTCTCTGCCTGTCCCCTGAAAAGAATATCACATGAAAAACCTAAAGAACAAAAAGAAACTTGTTCCTCACCAAATAAGCCTATAAGTACCCATCAAACTTCAAGCTTGCATTTAACTAATCAAGGACCAAAAAACAGTGGCAGATCTACCCCTTCGCAGCTAGTTCAATCGAATCCACTACTTTCAGCTCAGATCATGTACATTTGCAGACTTTTAAAAATGTATATTTACATAAGAAACTACACTCTAAACCTACTAACTCTAAATTGTAATTTAACTCATGAGAAAGGACGCATAACCATGAAACACACTTAACATAAATGGCACGCAGACATATGTGCGAGGAGTATGTGACATGCCTAAACATGTTAGCATCTACTCTCTCTAGTTAAGTGATACTCTTTCCTTTTTAGTCTGCCAAAAAAAAACATTTTTCTATATTTAGAAACAAGTTAACTTGAAACTTGTTAACTTAATGAGTAGCCATTGAAATGTCTATAGATTGTTCTAGACCACAAATTTCAGCTGCCAGTCTTTCTTTCTTGAACTCGGTGCCTAGTCAAACATCTTCACATAAAATGGGATGGGGGAGTATATATAAGCAATTGCCCTATGCATACACAAAAAAATAAGCACAAAGCAAACAACTTTTTATCAGTAGCATACAGAATAAAAGCAAACAACTTTGAATGCCTTTTACCTGTTGTTAAGCAAATTCTTAACAGCAACACTACTATTATCTTCCATAACTCCGCGGTACACAATGCCATACCCCCCCTCCCCAATCACATTCTCATGATCAAAAAAATTAGTAGCAATCTCAAGCTCCCTCAGAGTGTACCAGTGACCCCAACCTAAATGCGAAACCTCAGGCACCGCAATGCTCCCCTGCTCACCCGAACGCACCTCCCCGCTTCCCTGACCCGACCCGCCACCTGAACCGACCCGATCCGGGAACTTAACTAAATGACCCTTCCCATTCCCACTCCCAATCTCAATTTGGATTCTTTGTTGATACCCACCACCACCTGAGTTGTTTAGGGGTTCTTTCTCGGGTTCCGGAAGAGGGTCCGGTTTTTCGGGTAGAGTCCGAGATGGGTCGACTCGGATCTCTTTGATTTCGGAAGAGATGTTTGGTGGGATTTGGGGGTTTGTAGAATTACGCTTTGAAGTGTACCAAAGGGAGATGAGGAAGAGGAGGAGTACAATTGCAGCTCCAACGATAATACCAACAACTACCCATAAGTGTAGACCGAATATTGAAGTCTTCTTTGAGAGCTCATCATTTAAGAAAGCTGACATTTTTTTTTCCTATTCTTCTACTACTGAGAAGAATCTTGGTTAGCTGAAATTGGAATACATGAACACTAAGAAGTGTCAAAGACAGAGAGAGGAAGTCCAGTGTAAGGTTTAGTGACAGTATATGGTGGTATGGTGTGGGGATAGTACAGAGTACAGACAGTGGGATGTTAGAGGAGCTGTGGGTGAGTGGGTTTTGGACCAAAGGACGAAGTGAGCGGTCAAGAGTAGGGAGGGGGAGGAGCAGCTGTAATGATGCGACTGCTAAAAGTGGAAGATTTGTTTAAGCCTGCTAAAAGGAGTGAATCGTCAAAATTAGAAGGATTAAAATAGATTTTGCGAAGGACCCGGTAAAGTTGTTGTTATATAATCCCTCACGATTTTCAGGCATAAAAATAATCTCTTGTAAAAATATACGCTACAATAAATTTTTATAATTCGAGTCTTCTCTGGACCCGCTGCCCTATTATAATAGATTCAAAACTACTTCCTCCATTTATGTATTTTACTTTTAATCTAAAATTTATTTATATGGTTACAAATTATTTCATTAAGAATAAAAGTAAAGAATATAAACTTAAATTAATTCAAATATAGAGTTGTACAATTTTTTGGGACTATTAAAACGAAAAGTACATCGCATAGGTTGGAATAAAAGAATACCATTTTTAATTTTTCTAAGTTTTAATATTATTAATTCATTTTTTCTAAGTGGCACTCCCTTAAATGACAGGAGTAGCATATTTAGAAACATAAAACTCCAGTAATATTTTAGATATTCGTACGGACTTCTAATTTAAAATCCTAATATTCAAAAATCTTCTTTATAATATTAAACTTTACAACGATCAAACTAAGACATAAATGAAGCGGATGATGTAATAAATTGAGTTGCATTGCTAGATGTTTTGTCTGAAAACAAATCAGTGGGATCTTGTAATTATATATATGAAAATGCATTAGGAAGGTTAATTCATCTCCTACGACACCGACACAATTTGTCAAAAATTACTTGTGACGACGAGTCAAACTCAATCCGTACATCTCAACGTAAGTTACTCGTTTGGTAGGGTACATAAGAATAATGCGGAATAGTATATATTAGTAATGCATGGGTTAGTAATACAAGTATTAGTTATGCAGATATTATTTCTTATCTACTGTTTGGTGTGGTGTATTAGAATTATAATGCTTTGTATAATTTTTAAGAAAAATAGTTGTTTACAAAAATGTCCTCCATATTCTCTAGCTTTAAAGGGACTTTAAGGACAATTATGTCTTTAACCATACTAATAGATGCATTAATAGCCTTGGTATTACTAATGACATGGTTTTCTATGCATAACTTATAAATAGGATAATACCAAGTATGATCTATAACTAATACAAGTATTAGTTATACACAGGTTGAAAATATGTACCAAACAAAGTATTAGTAATTCATAGAGCTAATGTTTGCATTATTTTTTTTTTAATACCTCCTACCAAACGACCCTTGTAAATTAATGCAGTCATGCAATGCAGGTGTTAAATGGATGTTACTTAGGGGTCGTTTGGTAGTGTGCATAAGAATAATGCTGAATAGGATGTATTAGTAATGTTGGTATTAGTTATGCTCGCATTAGTTATGCTAGTATTAGTTATGTGTGTGATTTTTGGAGAGAAAGGGCCTTATTTCTTTGGGTTTTTAATTTTTATATGTGTTTGGCTAGTTTTGGTAAGTTTATGATTAATGGCTATAGGTTGATAAGTTTGGACTTTTTAGGACATTTCTGTAAGATTCCCTTTAAAATTTGGGTTAGGCGTGTAGGACTGTAGGTAAAATTAATTCGGTATTTCGCTATACCTAAATCTCGAAACCTCAATATCGAGGATCGTACCGAATGACCAATTTATATCGGTCGATAGGGTAAGCGCTCATTTCGTTCTTGCTTGCTTTCATTATGTTATGAGAGAGAGCCGTTATACTTTCTATTCTCTTTAGATAAATGACTGTCCGCTGGAAAATACAGAGTAGGATTCATCCGTGTGGTGAATGAAAGAACATTCGTTGAATGAGTTGACGTTAAACCCCGAATAAACTAATACCGAAATATCAAATTAATTCGGTCCGATTCGAAATTCAATTTTTCAAACTTTATGCCCACCCCTAAGTCTAATTTATTGTTTTAAACTTGAGCAACTTGAATATATGTTACACTTTTATGTGTCAAAATAAGGGTGGCAAGTGAGTCGGTCCGGGACCGGGAACAGCACGGGACCGCAGTTCAAACGGGCCAAGACATGTAGGACCGGTATATGTGGACCTGGGCCGGTCTTGTGGGCCGGTTCTAGGCCTTGGGACCGGTAGGATCGGGACCGTTTGTCCCTCCAAGGGGCCGGGACCGTCCCGGCCCCTTGGCGGGCCAAACAGTTCCAACGGTAAATTTTAAAAAAAAAAATAGCCGTTTGAAAAGTTTAAAAATAGCGGTTGGGTTGTCAATAGCTATTTAATCCCCCAACTTTATTTTAACCCCAAACTTTTTATAATTACATTTTCTCTCTATTTTCAACTAAAAATAACCCCTCATTCTTTCGTTTTTCTTACAAAATCTATATCAATCTATCACGGTCTCTCTCTAATTTTCTTCTATACTTGCTACTATTGCTTACTTTATTGTTACAATTTTGTGAAAAATTTGTGAAGTTGGTGAATTGACGTCTTCAAGTCTATAATCAATTTTCAACAAGTTGTTCATCAATTCGGTAAACTCGTTCCAACTCTTAAGTTTTAATATTATAGTTTTGTTTGTTTTATTTATTTGCTATTACTTGATTAATTAAGATGGCTTCCTTAAGAAAACTTTTTGGTAAAAATAAGGGAAAATCCAAGAATGACAAATCTAGTGGTCATGTTGTTCCTCCTCCCCTGCCTCCAACTCCCTGAACCAAAACCCATATCCGCCCTACACCTACTATTCTTGATAGCGATAATAGTTTATTACAATTTATCGAGAGTCAATTTTGCCATAATATTGTAGCTAGTGAATAATTAGACCGTGAATTAATGAATATTCTTTATTTTAATAATATTATTGATGAAAATGATGATAAGGAAATTAATCTTGATAAAACTCAACCAGAAGATGATACACCCACTAGTCCTGCTCTTGATGTTAACCCAACTAGTATAATCCTGCTAATCCAAATGATGTCCCATTTGATACTCCTGTTACTACCTCTACTTTTTTTAGACAACCTACCAAACGGACGGAAACATCTCTTGTTTGACCATTTTTTACTCAACTAGTTCCAGGAAATAAGGCTAAGTATAAACCTTGTTGTACAAAGTTAGCTTTTAAATATTTTGGGTCGAGGGGGGGAGGTAGGGGGACGGGAATTTTGGCTAGACACATACAAAATTACCTTCAAGATAGAGTCAGATTTCTTCGTCTGAAAGCTTTAGCCGCGGGGGAAAATGTACCTACTCCTAATGAGGCTGACCCTAGTACTGGTTCAAATCAATTTTAATGGGGAATTAATATTGTTGCTAGTTGTATTTTATATTATGATCCAAAAAAAGATCGGGAAGAATTGACAAAAATAGTAACTGTTATGTGTTTACCTTATAGTTTTCCTTCTGACCCTAACGTTGTGCATTATATTAGAAAAAAATTTAGTCCTACTTTTTCGCCACCACCAACGAAAATTCCTCCGGACCTTGAAGGATTTATGAAGTTTGTAAGAGATACCATGTAACTTGTGAACAAAAATTGGTATGTATTATGTAACTTGTATTTTGGCACATCTTGATTAATTTTTTTTTCTTCTCAATGGTGGTATTAGCACCTTGTTGTGCTCATTCCATAGGAGGGAGAAAGACTAAGAAAGATATTGCCATATTTTTTTAATGCTATAATAAAATTACAAGGCATTGCTTTGAATATCTCTTTACAATATTTTTGTCTTAAATTTGAATTAAAAAATTTAGGTCACAATTCTATAATAAAATTTACAAGGCACTGCCTTAGATATTTTTTTTAACATCTTTTTGTCTCTAATTTCTATTTAATTTTTTTTTAAAATTTAGCCGTTGGGACCACTTAGCCTGCGGCCCCGACCCGTTTAGCCCAGGGCCATGAGTTTGTGGGCCTGGTCCCGGGCCAGTTCCTACAAAAAGACCGTTTAGCCCGAGACCATTAGGCCCGTTTATTTTGGGATCGGCCCGGTACCGGGACCGGGGGGCTTTGCATCTATACCCGCTTTTTGTGTCACGTTTTAACTTGTGCCCTCTTTGTAAAAAAAAATTACAAGCGTACTCGTTTTTTCGCATAACTTCAACATACGGGGCTGAAGTAGCAAATGCAATCACGCAAAACTTCAGCATCTGAAGTTTTTATTTTGTAACTATCGAACTTCAGCTCTAGAGCTGAAGTTTTTGTTTGTAACTAGCAAACTTCAGCTCTAGAGCTGAAGTTTGTTTGTAACTGGCAAGTTTTTGTTTGTAAGTTTCAGCTCTAGAGCTGAAGTTTTTGTTTTGTAATTGCCGAACTTCAGCTCTAGAGCTGAAGTTTTTGTTTTGTAACTGGCGAACTTCAGCTCTAGAGCTGAAGTTTTTGTTTATAACTGGTGAACTTCAGCTCTAGAGCTAAAAATTTTGTTTTGTAACTGGCGAACTTCAACTCTAGAGCTAAAGTTTTATTTTTGTAGCTGGCAAACTTCAGCTCTAGAGCTGAAGTTTTTGTTTTGTAACTATGGAACTTCAGCTCTAGAGCTGAAGTTTTTGTCTTTGTAACTGGGGAATCCCACTATCAAGATGTTCTAGTTTTTGATAACTCACCCAACTTTAGTTTACCGTTATTAGATTTTATGTAATCGGATCCATCATTCAGTTCCATCTACTGTACTCTGTTAACTTTCATGTTTTAAATATATCAAGAGCTACGTTTCATAGCAAAAAAAAAAGAAACTCAAAAGAGAAAAGAAAAAAAAGAACAAACTCCATGCGCATGGAAAAGAATGAATTTGAAATTTACTGTTAAAGGGTGGGTTCCTTGTGCAGAAACATTCACGGTATCAAGTAAATTTCCAGCAATGGATGACGGAGTTGTGTTTCCAGACAATGAGGAAACTGGTTTTAATGTTATAATAATCCAAATGGAAGTCCTCAGTATATTTGTTTTAGATTCATTAATCAAAGAGAGCAATGTTGAAGTCATCGTTGTAGAAGAAGAAAGAAGAAAATGAAGGAGGAGAAAGAGAGCTGAAGTTATTTAAAAAGTGAGTACAAATTAAAAGTTTTTTAAAAAATTGGTAT